TATAACTTCAGCGATTTATTGAAATCGTGATTGGCAAATTAGTTTTGAATCCAATTTTCTACGTTTTCTGTACTTTTTTAAATTTGTGTTTTCAATGTCATAACAATAGAACTATTTACTCAGCATATTTCATATGATACATATTACATTATTTTTAATAGGTATAATACATTTTTTCAATCGTTTAGTTATGAAAAAAATATTTTATGTACTTTTACATAATGAATTTGTCACTTGCGCTCAAAACATAAATTGAACTTTGCATAATTAGTGTAAAGCGCTTCTCTGATATTTTAATTTTAATCCCCCATACCAATTTTTATTTGTCACATAACATCGCCCATTTAACGATTTGATAATCTTAAATGGTTTCATCCAATCTATATGTAATTACTGATTATTAACTTCCCGTAGGGTAAGTTATAGTAATCGCAAAAAATTCCACTTATGTGTGTGCGGATACAAATTTTCGTCGACGATTTCGGGAACACGGATGAAGCGATTTGAATAATTCAAAAATCATTCGATTCGTATTGATAAGGAGACGTGCTGATTAGTTTTTGGCGGAGGCAGGTCTAGCCGTTCCGAAGATACGGGGCAAAAAGTGCCGAAAACGGTAACTCGGTTTTTAATAGAACGGAGCGTCCGATTTGAATAATTCTAAAAACATTTTACTTGTATTGACAAGGTGAAGAATTAGTCAAATTTTCATGAAGGTAGGTCTAGCGGTTTCGGAGATCTAACGAAAAAAGTAAAAAAAATGCCATTTGGCGGTCAAAAATGCTCATTAGACATATGCACATCAAATTATCAGATATTTTATAGAGATTTTAACAATAAGTATAAATTTTGTTTACATTCCTATGGGTTCCGTACCAATGTTTATCTGTTAGACTGCGACGCGGCTTTTCTTTTTAAAAAAAAAATTTTTTAATTTTTTTTTCAAAAAAAGTAATTTTTTGCCCAATTTATAGTTTCTCAAAAATCTTATTTTTTCGAAGTAAAATTTTTTAAAAATGTTAATCGTTAATAATTTTTTGGTACGGGAAGTTCCAGCAATTTGCCTAAAGGCACGATGCCTTAATTGCCTTAAGACAGATTTCCACTTACAGCTAGTTATTTCATAATTCTATGCCATTTAAGAATCTAAATAATTAACGTTGAAGGTTGAAAATGTGAAAATTTCTAACGAAATGAAGTGGAAATATTACCGGTGCTTTATCGTTCAAGCGCTGCTTATATTGCGCATTTAAACGTTTTATTGCTAATGTGGTCAGCTAATAGCGATTATTGCGATTAAAATTTATATACTGAATAATAAATTCAATAGGTTTTGTTAATTTATCAATAACACAAATATATTTTCAAATTTAAACAAAGAATAATTTAATTTATTTTTTTATAATTTTTATTATTTTAATTAAAATATTAGAGTTTGTAAATTATTTATAAAATCATATATTGTAAGATTTACTTTTCTCAATTTTTAAATTGAGAACAGCAACAATTTGGCGGTCGTATGACCCGAACGGAAAGTTTTCATTGCTCATATCCTACTAAGCAGGCCTGCTCGCATTATATGAGGTCTCGGTTGTAAAGCAAATTGATTCGATGATGTAGATTTCAAGAGTAAGTGTTGTTAATGACAGAAATGATTTCATTTTGAAATTAAATATTTATTCTAAATTACATTATCTATTTATAAGTATAGAACTTATAATTAGATTCATCTTCTATCTCCTATTCGTTAACACAATTGGAAAATAGGTAAATTTCAATCAGATTGAAGTAATTATGAGATTACAACATTAACACTACCCTTGAATTTATCATACTTTGATTCACAGATTTGCAAACTTACGATTTGATTTAAAATTTAAAATTTTCATTTTATTAAAATGTTCAATAAGGTGCGACTCGTAATATTGGTTACGGTTTTGTGTATTTTAACTACGTACGTTTCTTATTGCTATAAAAATTGTTGTTAAATCATTAATGCATTGAAGGACAATGGATTCAATTTATTGAATATTTCAATATGTTAATAATAAAATTACAATCATAATGTGGCAAAGAATTTGATTTATTTTTCAAATAATTTATTTTACCACGTTCTGTGTGAAAATTGAACATTAACATGTATCTACTTTGATTTATTGTTCGTTCATTGATAATCAAACCTTACAATTCTAACAATGAAAATAATTTATTTATGACGATTGTTTTTCAAACAAAAGCTGCCAATCTGATGTGTTATTTAGTAATTCAAACAATTGTGGTTCCTACTTCACAAATAAGAAAAGTCTGAATTGCATAAATCTTTTTGTGGCAAGTAAAGGAAATCAGATACTCAAATATACCACGTCTGATTTAATAAATCTTGTAATAAAGACGCCAGTCATCGTAGTTCATAGGCATTGTTCTCTTTATTTTAATTTAATGTTCTATGTGGTTTGAGCAATACTCGTTAGTTAAACTTCAGTAGTGTCCTACAATTAGAATTATTTGTTGGAAATTTATTTAGCATCCACCACCTCCACGAAATAGCATCAGAAATATTCCTCACGAACCTTCATAACCATCGTAGTTCAGGCGCAATTGATTCGAACGCTTCAACATACATTCATTAGTTTCATCAAATAAATGGATCTTCCAAATTGTTAGCAACTTAAATTGAATCTATTTAGCAAAGGTTTTATTTATTACTTCATGTTGTCACCGATACGAGAAACATGAATTACTTACTCAAAATGTAATCAAAACAATTATTTTTTGTAGAACAGAAATCAGAACTTAAATAGCTAGCCAAAGGGTTATTTTATCTTTATGTGATAAATTTATTATTATAATTTCTGTAATATGGTAGATGTTTTATTGATGCAACAATGCAAGGGCAAGGGCTATTTCACTTGGAAACATGATGCTGTCTATATTTCTAAGTAAAATTCAATGTCACCACTGCTTGACATCAGGTTGTCCGGGAAGGTTATCGAACCTAGAGCTTTTGAATCAAATCTTATAGCTCTCGCCACTGATCCACGGGGAGCGAGAAAAAAACAGTACACCATCGAAAACCAGAACTTTTATCTTGCCAGTGACTGTAGAATGTTGTAGAAATATTGTAAGATACATACTCTACGTAAATTTATTTCAAGAAATTTACGTAATCTTTCTTCAAATTTTTAACTTCTCAGTTGATATTACTTGCTTAAAAAATTCTCTCAACGAAAATCGTATATTTTTTACATATTGACAATAGTTGTCGACAATCGCGTTATTTATTTGTCAAATAATTCGAGTGAAATCATAAGGGTATTATAATTCGAATTATCGACGTATTAAGTACTACAGCCACTTCAAGATTATTAACTTTAACTAATAACGTGTGAGTTAATGTTTGACGTAAAGTTCAGCTGAAATTTTTGTACACGCACACACATTTATTTTCAAGTTTAATTATTTAATTAAACTTCTTAATTATTTGGTTAATTATTATCAGAAGGCATGGTGTTTATTGGTCAATTAGATTGCACTTAAAATATCAATAATTGGTCGTTTTCTCTAAAAAAATGTAAATAATTTAGAATTAGTTTTATACATTTAACTACTTCTATTTAGATCGGCTTATTCAATTTTAATTTGCTCTATTTTTATAGTTTTATAATGTTTGAGAATTAAATATTGTAAATATTATAAATTCAATAGCTCTTTATGCTATAATTTTCTAAATTCAATGTTGGACATATTCAAATAATTATGAAATTGGTTGACGCAGTTAATGAAATTTGGCCGAACAATATTGGGTGACTACCTATTTACTTTGCTCATGAAAGCCACATTCTACGGACATTTCGTAGGTGGTGAAGATTTAGACAAAGTACAAGACACTTTGAAAAGGTAAAGACAGTAGAAAATCTTCAAAAATTATTTATTTATAATAATATTATGTCACATGCAAAAACACAAAAAATTGGCATCTCCATTGTGAACACATGCTGAACTGTGCGTCTGTCGTATGACTAACTTACTGAAAAATTATATATGTATATATATATATATATTGTATATATAAACTTTTATAATAAATATGTATATGTATGTTTTCCAGCTGATTCATAAAGAATAGAAATGTTTTAAAACTTATAATTCAGCCTCTCTTAAGTATTAATAATTTAAATTTAAATACAAATTCAGAATTAAATACAATTAATTTTCTGCAAACATCTATAGTATATATTTTTTTGGCTCTCTGGTAAATCAATCTGCGCTTGACATTAATTTTGCGGTGCTTTGTCTTGAATTTACTTTTCATGTAATTACACATGACGACTATAAGTATCTTAAGTAAACATAAATATGGAATTAAACCGATTGCGAATATTTTATAATTATTCGATTTATTTTCATAAATTTGAATAAATATATTGAGAAAAAATTGCCGCTAAATTAGATCTGAGTTCACTTTTGTTCTTTGCGTATTATGCCTACGTTGGCAGAAAGTTGATACTATGTTAAAATAAACTTTGCATATTTTCCACATCGTTAACGTTACTTTACATTCGTTTTATAAAGATAATGGAAAATATATTTAAAAAGAAAATATGTTTATTTTAAGTATTAATTAATCTTCAACATTGTCGGACATGTGCAAATACGTAATCATCAGGTAATATATGGAAACATTTTGAACGCTTTAGCAATTTTTATATTATTATTTAAAAATTGAGAAATGTCAGTTTTAGTTTATAATTCAAATAATCCAAAAAGGATTACAAAAACATTGTATTTAATAGCGTTTTTTTTATAAGCAATACTTCAGGTTTACCAAAATAGTTTGTATCTCCGTACGTTCTTGAGAACGTTTGAATAATATGATACAAAATGTTCCCTGGGTTAAGCTTGTGCTTAAAAAATCTAATACGATTTGACGTTTCCATCTGATATTTATATGTAAGTATGATTAAATATACGGCATTTTTATTATTGCTTTTGGGTGGCAGCTAATGAAAATATCCAAGGCGATCTTAGGCGAGAAGCTGTTCACAGCCATAATGAAGCTCTCGTTCTATGGCCATTTCGTCGCCGGAGAAGACAGATATAAGATTGTCCCAACTCTCGAGAGGTACCACATTGTCCTTGAAACACAACCCATTAAAAAGCGATTATGCTAGATTATTAACATGTTCCTAAATACGAGTTGCTGATTTTAACCTATTGCGATTTTCTAATCTATTCCCACCCTTTGATCGGTTCGTTTGTTGCATTGCCTGATTTCATTTGATTGTTTTGTGTCTTTTTAATTAGATAAGTTTTGTTTGATGAAACAATGGTGACCAGATTAATTATTGAAGATTAATTGCAGGCTTTACTTATATAATAAGTATTAAATAATATTATTACATAACAAATTTTACATGCTAATAAATTTTATCTTTTCAAAACGCTTTTCGCTGCTCTAATGAATGAAAATATAATACTGATAACCATGGTTGTAATAGGTTTTATTGTTGCTAATATTTGGCTTTATCAAATACGTGCTACAAGTCATAAATTAAAATTGTTTATATATTTCAATTATTCAAAATGAATCGATAAATTTTAACCAATGATTATACGTACATTGGTACCATATGAAAGTTTTAGTCGACAATATCTTTATCGGCCTGTTTAACTACAATTGTTTCATAGTAGCTTGTGAAAGCAATATTGTTGAAAATCCATTGTTTCTGAAAATCAAATGCAATTCAGTTTTTGATTTTGACTATTGTGCTGCAGCATATGATTTCATTACTGCATAAATAACACATACATATTACTGTTCCACATAAACAATTTTCAACATTTTAATAATTAGTAAATCTAATTGGTCAAACTTTCGGAATGGTGATTTGCTATAACTGCACTCACATTCATATTCAAATATAATAGCATGATGAACATATTTTAATTCACTATCCGTCGAAGAAGTGTTGTGCAAATTTGATCAATATGAATATTTTAAAGTTTTAAGAACTGTTGATGTCTTATTGCTCGTGTTCCACCCATTTTATACTAATGATACCTGACGTCTTTCAACAAATTATAATTACTTATAGTGATATCTGTAATTTTTTATGGATACTAGGGCTATAAATTAACTACATATAAAATATGCGAGTAATGGTTTGAATTGAATGTTTTGCAAGTTTGACGTTCTGCATACTTCTAAATATATTTTATTTTACAAACTAGTAAAACAATACAAGATATCACTTATGTTTTGGGTAACATTATTTTAGACGTTAATTATGATTTTTGCCAATATGTATTATGATTTTCTTTTAAAGTCAAGAATAATCTGTTACGTTAATTTGCATATTTTGAATATAACAAATATGCGGGACGTATAAATATATATTTTTTGTTCGTCGTGAATATCTTAAGCTCAACTTAACGCATAAGCTCATCTCACATGCGACTAACGTGTTTGGCTGTGTTCACAATTTCCATTTATTACAGGTTTCTGGTAATTATCAACATGCATTTTTATTAAATTTTATTCAGCATTTGACTATACTAACTACTAATTTGATCCGGCATGCTTGATTATTAATCCAGAATCCTTATTACATTAGACTAATCAATGTTATATACATATATATATATATATATATATATATATATATATATATATACAGGGCCGGTCCTGCCTTGCATGCGATGCATGCAAAAAATGCGGGCGCAAGCCTTAGGGGGCGCCAAAACGACTTTCGGAAATTAAATTTATAATATAATATTTATGTTTTTTTATATAAAATCAAGAATTATTTATTTAAAATCTAAAATACTTAATAAATTATAATAAATAATTTAACTTAACTAGGGATACGGAGACACAAAAAGCATATTTATTTTGCAATGTGATATCAGTAGATACAATTAACCGATTAATAATTCTGCAAATTAGTAAATAACAGTTCTGTTTATTGCTTAATCTACTTATTCAATTTTTTCTTTGTTTGAAGTTACCGTGGAATCAAAAAAGAAATTATCTAGTGTTCAATCCCATAAGCGCAAACCTGCGAAAGATTAAATTAATTGTTGAGCATTATTGACGAAAAATTGTGAGCTGATTTAGTTGAATCGGAACTTGTTAAAAATATAAACAAATTATAAAAAATGGGGAGTCAGTGCTTAGAAAATGACTTGTTTATTTCGAAAAATTGAATTGTAACTTTTGCTTTTGTTGCAAATGTTTCGAATCTGTTGAACTTTGAATGTTGAAGACATGCGTGAAACAAATATGAAAAATGGAAGCAAAATTTACTTTGTAACGAAAATCTTAAGCTTGTTTTATACCGAGTGATTTCCATACTAATTTAATAATTATTAACTATACAGAAATAATACATATCAAATATAATAAGTTTTTTTTTCAATATTGTTCAAGAAATATGTAATTTCTTTGCATTTTCTACTGATTTTTGAACAATACTTTTTAAATACGTTAAATTTTTAACTTTAAAACAACAACCTGATACTCTGAATATGACGGCTCTTTAATATCAATAAGGAGAAGTTTGGATATTGTAAATAATGAAAAATTAAATTAAATTAAAATTTAAAAAATCCAACATGAAATATGAGTGTTATGTTTGAAAATGAAATGCTATTTTTTTAGATATTAATATTGCACATACGTTAAGAATAATTTAAAATTTCAAAATACTTGATTATAATCAACCAGCACTAAATCCAGAATAATTAAAAATTAATTTATTTATTTCACTTAATATTTTTGTTAAATTAAAGTTATAGAATTTAAGAAATGCATTTCAGAAATAGTATTTATTATTTTGATATCAAGATCTTCATATCAAAATAATAAATACTATTTCTGAAATGCATTTCTTAAATTCTATAACTTTAATCTAACAAAAATATTAATTCTTTTGCTATGGTAGTCGAACTTACATCCTTAACCAATTTACTACACATTGAATATTACTAAAATGTGAAATTATGACATGGATTGTTTTATTTATTGATATCGATAATAATAAATAAATTTAAAATCAATATATTTTATACCCTTCTAGATTATATCTAATTTTTTGTGTACTAAATCCAAAATAATTAAAAAATATTTTTTAAAAAATATGTAAATATTAATATAATTTTAATGATAAACTGTTAAAACGGTGAAAATTAATAGGGGGGGGGCGCTAGAAACAAAGTTGCATGCGGGCGCTAAGGACCCCAGGACCGGCCCTGTATATATATATATATATATATATATATATATATATATAAACTTACCTATTTTAGTTAATATATTGTCTTGAAAGAACTGGTTTGAATGCTTATTGTTATAGTTGGTAGTATTAACATTTTATGCAGGGCAATGCGTGATTATTATATTCTGATAATTTTAAATATTAAAAAGTAAATATCATACAGCAATATTTTTGCAATAATCTACCCAAATGTCAATAATTTTCTAGTTATTGAACTCGAATCAATTTGAAATTGGGAGTTTAGTCTTTAGAATAAATAACTTTAGTTTTGTAGTATTTGCTGTTTCTATTTTAATTATATTCACTTTTTCATTCTGTAGCAACATTTTAGTTTTTAACGTAAAATTGAAATTTTGAAGGCATGGTTTTCTGCTATCAACTTTACACACACTTGCATGCATATATAAGTATATGTTTGTATATGTATATATATATATATATATATATATATATATATATATTTTATACTATTTTTTTTAGTAAACATTTAATAATCTTTTATGAGGCAACATTTATTAAAAGCATCTCCTTTTTGTTTCAAAATTAACTACTAATTTTTATTTTTACTAAGCATTGTATCTATTGTGCACATATTTAACATTTATGATCAATAACATGTTTTGAGTGCAAAAATTTATATCTGGAGTACATGCATGCTTGATACCGATGAATGAGTAATAAAATGGAAGAGGAACCTTATAAAATTTGCGTAAAATGTGTAATTTCCATCTGATGACAGTTGATTTTTCAGATCCTAACGGACCGAATGGAACCTTTCATGATGTGAAAAGTGTTCTCTGTAAGTTTTTCATTAAAACTATAGTTTTTATCTATTTCTATACCCACCTACTTTTAATTATTTAATGTAATATATTGATTTCCAACATTCCACTAACGAAAACGCTAAAATCCCATTAACCTTTTTGGCACATCATCGCATTGAAAATGAAATATGCACTATATTTTGATCGTTACTATAAATGAGAACCAAATTTAATTAATAAATAAGCAATTTGAAAGCGATATTCTAGAACGTTCAGAAATTATTTTGGAATACTTCGCTTTTAATCATTTTAATAGTGAATATGTTCCAATATTTTTCTGGACATTGTTTTTTGTAGGTATGTATGGTATTTTAATTACATGATAATATTATGTACGCTAATATTTGTCAGTAAACATTTGAAAATACGACGGTAATAATTCGTATTTTTGTTAAATTCAGGACGTATTAATTTGTTTTCTGCAATCTTATGGCACAAATGCATTCTCGATCAGATGAACTGCCAAAATTGAAATGGCGATGCGTGTTCTAATTCATCCTGAGGAAAATTATTAAAAAATGAGAGTATAATTTTTGAAACTCATATTTTCTCGATACATTATATAATCTAAAATAGATCAATAAACTCAGTAAATTTTTAGTTTTTCGAATGTTCTGTTGTGCTTTTATTTTTATTGTGCACTTAAAAATATATTAAATATAATTTGAAATTAATATTTTATAAAGTGAATTTTATCGTTAAATTTCTAGGTTCTATAGTTATTACATGCATAATGATTTATTAATTTTATAAGTGCGGCTTGACATTGATATTTTGACGGAGGTTTATCAACATTTTTGCAATTATTTTTTATGCCGGAAAATAATGATTAATATACAAGTCCGTGCAGAACCTTATATATAAAATAATTTTGACATATGTATATGTGTGTGTGAATATATGTTAATGTATATGTGTATATACATATGATTGTGCGTGTATTTGAACTTATTTTTTTCATTTCGCATTTTTTAGTTTAAATAATTATTTTTTAGTTTCAATAACGTGGCATTTGTCAGATCTGTAGATTATGTAATCCATTTCAAAAGATCAATTGAAAAGAATATCAATTTGCACTAAATGGTATGAATAATAATTTCCTCACTTGATGAAAATAGAATATATTTGATTTGAATTTAATAAAATCGCGTATCGTTCCTCTGTCACTTACGTTACTCATTCAACGCGGATTATGGCTACGGCTGTGTGTATCTCAACAACGTAGTGGCACTTGTATTGACCTGATGTTTCGTGCAGACTGCGATCGTTCGGTGTCAAGCCAATCCTTGATTACTCCGTTGAAGAAGATCTCACCCAGGAGGAGGCGGAGAAGCGTGAAGTCGAGTAAGTGATTTTTTAGTTTAAACTAAATAATAGATAAAGATACGATAATAGATAAATGTAGAATAATGCTATGTATTGTTTTTATTAACTTCCCGTATGGTAAGCTATAGTAATCGCAAAACAATCGAAAATGAAAATTTTTACATACAGTAGAACCTCGATTATCCGGATCTCGGTTATACGGATTCGCGATTATCCGGACTACCAACCGCGACTAATTTATATGCATGTACATACTTACAATTCGAATTTTTGCACAATTAATCCTGCAGTTTAGTAATCTAAGAAAATATATATGTACATACATACATAACGAAGTTTCAATTTCTTAATAAACATTATTTTCGTTGATATCTATGTATGCATTTGTTATTTTTAATAAACACACAACATTATTCTTCATACCTTTGATTATCCGGATTTTTGATTATTCGGTTGCCTATCGACAACAATTAGTAGGGTTAATCGAGGTTCTACTGTATCTTATTATAAAAAGCGGGTTGTATGTGTGTATGACACACTCATAAATGTTCGGATACAAATTTTCGTCCACGATTTTTGATTAAATTTTTGGGAAGGCAGATCCAGCAGTTTCGAAGATCCGATAGGAAAAGTTAAAAAAAAATTCCATTTGGCGGCCAAAAATGATAATTAAACATATGCACATCAAATTATCAGATATTTTATAGAGATCTCCATAATTTGACCGTTACGCGGTACTACGATTTGATATTTGGTCACTAAAAGAGCTACGCAGCGCGGTCGCTTTGAGAAAAATTCAATCAAATATTGTAATAAAAATTTCAAATATTGTAAAAAAAACAATTTTTCCAAAATTTAAGAGGGGAGCTTTAGAAAGCTTCGAAAAATGGCTTTTTTGAGGACGGTTTAGAGAAGGAAATAAATATTTAATTGACGAAACTTCCAGGTTTTATTGATACATATTTCAACATTCATCTCAAATTTCTTCATTGAAATATATGTCAAATATGCCGGGTATAAGCATTTTGCCGATACGCCACGAGCGGGCAGATGTCATTTGGCGGGAAAGATGCAGGTCACAATTTCCATCCGAAACAAAAAAAATTAAAACAAATATATATTCTCAGTAATATAGATTCTAGTTGAACTTAAAAATTCCAGAAAAAAGAGAAATTTACCAATTTTTTGCAACTTGAAAGAAAATCAAGTTCTTGATAAAATTTCACTTTAGATTCTTTAAAAAGTGGGTTAACTATAACTTTTTTAAAAGTTTTCTATGTTTAACTAAAATAGAATTTAATCCTGAATTTAATGAATTTTGTCTCGTTTTGATAGGACGTTTAGTTTTTTCCTATATTACCCACCAATTAGGAAGAATCGAAAAAAATAAAAACCGAGAAATCGCGCATATATGCTTGACGCTTTCCCACTATTTCTCCTATAATTCCGAAAATAATTTTAATTTGTGTCTGAAATTTTATGGATAATATTTCTTGGCTAATTTTGGAAAACATTTTTGCAAAGAAAAAAACGATTATTTTAAGCCTCTAATGCAGACTTTCCCCCTTCAAAATTTTGAATTACTATACGGGAAGTTTCAGCAATTTGCCTTAAGGCAGGATGCCCTGCACCACTAGTTCTTATATACATTTCGAATATTTATATATTCGAATAGAAATTGCAAAAGCTCATTCAATTTTACTTTTGTATCTATTAGGTCATCGCGATCTACCCAAGGCTCTGCTCCCACAGCTCCCGAACCTGGCAATAAATCCATGCCCCAGTACCAGGTCGACAAGACGTTCGCGGACCGGCGATACAAAGTGCAGAGCGCTAGAACTTACTTCTACTTGAACGAAGCTACTTGCGAAAGGAATATGGAAACATTCATTCAATGCCTGGAAGCCGTCTCAGGTGGGTGATATATTACTAGATTTCATGATTTTATAGGATTTCGGTCTTTATTTTTGAAAAGTCGGGTATTCATAATCGTTTCCTATGATTTTTTTTTTTTTGAAAAATGCCGCCTGTGATATCCTGTACTGTTGCTTCAATGAACAATTTTCAATTTTTTACATCCTTATATCCTACATATATATATATATATATATATATATATATATACAGGGCCGGTCCTGGGGTCCTCAGCGCCCGCATGCAAGATTTGTTCTAGCGCCCCCCCCTCCCTCCCAATAATTTTAAATGTTTTAACATTTATCATTAAAATTATATGAATATTTACACACAAAAAATTGGAAATAATCTAAAAGCGTATGAAATACATTGATTTTAATTTTATTAAGAAAATCGAAGCGATTTGCGAGTTGACCATAATTAAATATTTTATATTTTCAAGTATTTCTAACATGTATGTAATTTTAATATTTGGGGTTTGAAACACTTCACTTATTTCATTATTTTCAAACATAACATTCATTTTTCATGTTAGATTTTTAAAATTTGCTTCAATAACTTATTGATATCGTAAAGCCAAATTGTATTCATGTTTACTTTCCCATCTGATTCAGAATATCAGATTGTTGTTTTAAAGTTAAATTTTTAACGTATTTTAAAATATGCAAAGAAATTACATATTTCCTGAACTATATCAAGAACAAAACACAATTTGTATTTGTATCGGTATTATTTCCACCACTAGATATAAAAAAGCTCACGAGTTTTGTTCCTAAGTACATTTTGCTTCCATTTTTCATATTTACTCCATAAACCTAACCAAGGATGTCTTCAAAGTTCAAAGTTAATCAGATTCGAAACATTTTCAATAAATACACAAGTTACAATTAAGTTTCTCGGTCTTATAGTCATTTTCTAAGCACTGACTTCCCATTTTCCACTTTTCTCTATTATAATTTGTATCTACTTTTTTTTAACAAGTTCCGTTCAACCTCGCAATTTTTCATCAATAATTTAAACTTTTGTAGATTTGCGCTTACGGTATTGAACACTAGATAACTTGTTTTTCGATTCCATATTAACTTTGATCCAAGTAAAATTTAATAAGTTCATTAAATAATAAGCAGAACAATAATTTACTAATTTGCATGAGTAATTAATTGTTTCTACTATCAGCAGATATCACATTGTAAACTGAATATGCTTTCTGTTTCTACATATCCATAGTTAAGTTAGATTGTTTATTATAATCTGTTAAGTATTCTAGATTTTATATTAAAAAAAAAACGAATAATATATTATAAATTTCATTTCCGAATCTCGTTTTGGCGCCCCCTAAGGCGTGCGCCCGCATTTTTTGCATGCATCGCATGCAAGGCAGGACCGGCCCTGTATATATATATATATATATATATATATATTTCTATTATCTTCTGGTACCATTTTTATCATATTTCTTATTATAATATTGTACCAATTGATTTATATTAACAACATCTAAATATATTGTTTTCAAATATTTCATTTATTATTTTACAAAACAGCAAATATATATGTATAGCAAACAAAGTTCACAGCCGGCATTTTATATTATTTATATATTATACACCATATTTGGTTACGTCTAACAAGCACAATACATTTCTCAAGGCAAGTATATTCATGTATCCAGTTTCTTTTCACATTGAATGCATTTGCAGTAGAAGTCGTTAATGATAACACAAAACGATAAATTGCTATAGAAATTAAAATAGGAAATGATACATTTTAAATATTTATTATTGTGGGATATAACATCTTTTTTATTTTATTTTATTATAATTTAGTATGTATAAAATAAAAAAATAATGTTACACAACTATATACTTTTCTATAGCAAATTTTTCACCATTCAAACATTCATTAAGCATGTTAACTAACAAAAATGCTGCATACCTAATTGTATATCAAAATTTATATATAAATTGATATATCTTCATAATAAAAAATCGAGGGTAAACTGTATTTGGCTTCGTATACATGACCATTTTTCGTTAAGGCCGCACTTAAGACCATTTAAGGCTGTTAGTAATGTTAATTATTATTGATCGCGGCTTACTTACCAATAATCAATAATTTTTTATCATAAATATCTTAAAATTACTGTATCAATCGCATCCATAACACATGTTAAGTCTTAGAGTTATATAAAATTTTTAAATTTATAGTAAATTTAAATTGTATACATGTGTGATATGATTGAATATGCTAGTACTACAAAAATCTAAATTACCTTAATTTTCATTAACTGGTCAATCTATCATCGTTTGTCACATGTTTACGATTTAGTTATGCTGAGTTCATTGATTCTCCAAAAAGCGCCAGACCAAAATTTACCTTCATTAAAAAATTTCAGACATATTAGTTTAGCCAATGTGTATATTTGCTTGACAAATATTGATAGCTGGAAATACATACATTTTAAATATTCGGAGGCAAATCCAGTGGACCCAGTCGAACATGTGCTATTACACAAATTGTAGAGTTTGTGATTTGCATACAACATTCTTGCTAATTCTTTGTGCACATATTGCAAATTAGTAAGGTATAAGATAATTGTAACACGGTGAATGAAAATGTTATTTATATGTATAAAGAGTTCTAAATAGAGTAGGGACAAGAGACAAAATAAAAGGTTACATTTAATATTATCATTAAATAAAGTAATTTAAAGTAATATAAATGTAAATATTTTAGAGAATTTATCTGCGGAATAATGAAGGATTTTGATTTTAAATAGTGTGCTGTAGAAAAATAATCAGCGGCATAAACAGAACCATGTCATGTGTAGGAAGTTGAGATTTTTCAGATTTCAATATAAAACTATTAAGAAACATATATTTTAAATATATTTTGCTATATCAAATGATTAAAATTAAATTTTATTTATTTATTTATATTACCATAGCTCGACTGAAAGACCAACTATTATCGAATATTTTTTTGTGAAAGTTATCTCAAAATTTTAAATTTTGTTTGCACTTTCTGAGCTATTCATTATGCATTTTTAAATAATTAACAATAATTGCCGTTTGAATCTTTTATCACCAAATATGTTAAAGATCGCTATGTAAATCCTAGTGATTATGGCAATTCTGTATGAGAAATTTATATATTACGTTAGTAAGAAATTTAAACTATTTTATAATATGTGCACAAAGCATTATTTTTTGGTAAAGAAAATATATACTTTAACTTTTTTGACTTTGCGAGTCATATAATTCTTAGATTTATTTTCATGGGTGCAGCATTATTGTTGATATTTTTTGTTTTCATATATAAATTATTTGTTTAATTTCAGTTGACTTGGTGAATGCATGAGATCTCGTCTTCCATCACTTAATCCCTGAACCAAACATTATCCTATTGTTTAGTATATTTGCACATACCAGAACTCTGCAATATGACCACTACTAACACACCAATTATTTTTAAGCTTTTAAAATTAATGAGCATGAGTTGAAATTTGTCAAAACGCTTATGGAATTCGCATATGTAGGCAGAGACACACTGTCCAGCCATACATCTGTCAGCGGTTTAAACCTATTATATACATGAATTTGTTGGATCACATCAAATTGGTTTCGTTCGTGACTTTCAAATAATACCTATATAGTGTGAAATTTGAATGCATTCAAATTTAAAGCAAGTTTCCATCCAAAAATTCCATGAATTTTACAATATTTCTGTAATTAAGAAATTTCAAGTGTAGAAAAAAATCCATTATTTTTCGTTGCAGTAACAAATATTGCGTAAACATTTATTTAAAAAAGATTTTTAAATGTAATAAACAAAGTCATTTTCCATGTTCATTAACAAAAATGGTTCACTTTTCAAGTTATAATGTTTATTTGTAGTTGAAAATCAACATCGATTCGGTCGGTCGGTCTTTATAAAATTGTCAAATCAAATTAATTTTCAAAGTAATAAATTTTCTGTACGATGAAGTTCCTTTTGTTTTTATTGCCGCTTAGACTTGCTTTAAATTTCTAACCCAAGTTTTAGTTTAATATTCAAAAATACATGATTTTTAATTCGTTTTTTTTGCTGCTATTCCATTTGTGTTTTAAGTATTTTAACTTCTGTTATTGGAATATATATATTTTTTCTTATACATCAAATTAACTAATTAACAAAAATCATATCAAATCTTTGTTATAAAAACAGTCATCGGCGTAGACTTTCTGTAGTAGTAAACATCATATTGGAATGCAAGTAATTAAAAATAACACAGCATTTAACTTTTCGTATATGGTTTTAATTATACTGATTATTGACAAATTGCTGTAATTTTTGTTTGCATGTTTTATATTTTGAAACGCTATCAAGTTCACATATTTTAACGAAAATATTTTATAGTTAAATGCACATTGCATACGAAATCAAATCTACTTCTTTGACTGTTTTCTACTAGCCATAATACTTCTCACTTTACTCACATCATCAGGAGTGTCAATTTTCATCCAGACAGTTCGTAATTTTATAGATATTACAATTATTATAACTTAAGTTTTTTGAAAGAATTTGTTTTCCGATATAAATTGTAATGTTAATTTCATTTTTCTCGTTCTTATTTTACGGAATTTAATATTTATTATATATTAGTTATATATAATCAATATGCGATTATATATTACATATAATAATACATAGTAAATCGCAATGTCACAAAAATTACATTTAGAATATTTCATAATAGCAATGAAGCAATAATTTTAATAATACACTTCAACGCTCTTTTTATTTTTAAAATTTTATTAGTGTGTATTTGTTACTGCTTGTATTGCCACTCCTGTGATTTGCATCATTCCCGTGACAACTAGTTTAAAAATAACTAACAACTGTTTTATTTGTATGTGGTATACTAATCACGATGTTCTGGTTTTTCTTTTCGTGTACCTGCAGATTATGATCGCAAGTCCAGATCCCAAATCGAAAATGGTGGTAAGAAATGTATTGTTGTAATGCTAACAATATTAAAAAATGATCCCAAGTATGTATTCGTTAAGAGTTGTAATACTATTCCGTAATGAAAATTATATGTGGTAGATACTTAATTTAGCACAAAATAATTTAGCTTACAGAAAAGGTGCAATAGTTTTAACAAAATGACTATTTTTTTAAACATTTTCTCATTTAATGAATTACAATAATTTTTCCGCGAAAAAATATTTAAACGTTTGTATCTTAATCGAAATTTATTCTAACGCATAAAAACCCTTTTCTCATGCTAAATTGTTTATTTTTTAGGTGTATAGTTTTGGCTTGCTTGTTGAATAATTTTTGTTTGGTAATTATAGATCAAAATTGCTTAAGTCAAAATTCAAAATTCTAATAGCTGTACATTTGATCAATGTTTATCTTATAGATAAAATGCATTAATCTGATGGTGCGTCGTTTTATGTAAGATATATAATGTAATATTGTTCAAGTATACTTTACCTAGTAGTTGAATTACTTTTTTATTTACATTTTATTTTTTGATTAGGAGCTACTTTTGGAACTGGCATCACTGCTATTAAGTTAACTGCCTTGGGACGTCCTCAATTACTGGTGAGTTTATTGCAAAGCCGGCGACATAGGCATTGCGATATTTAATGAGCAAACTTGCATAAATTCTTTCTGCGAAAGATAAATATAGTTGCATGTTCTATTATATGTTTTATTCAATTTATAATCTTGTTTACTCATATTACTTTTGGATAATCGAGTGTATTTTTTTCGACTTGATATGTGCCACAATTTGTAACTCTCAATGTACAGAAAAAGAATTTACAGTTCTTTTTATTATTTTATTATTGTACATTCCGTTATTGTTTTCAGCACTTCGTCATGCATCAGTAATTTAAATAGCTGAATTTGTTTATAAAAACGCTTTGCATTTCAAAAATAATTTTTAAGATTACTTCATCAGCTATTACTTTTATATGTAATTTTGAACTTACTTAAAACACATGCAAATGAAATTTTTATCAAAAATACACTGAAATATATTTGCGATACATAAATATGTGGATGCTGCGCGATGCGCGCGAAGCAAAATCAATGCGCAGTAGCAGCTTTATACTTATCTGAAGGTTTTGTTTAAATTTTATTTCACTATAGCTCCGATTACATCTCGATAAGACGACGGCCTTCTCGCTCCAATTACTTAAATTCGTTCTAACGATCTTCATAGACTTTAGGCACACTCAGGCATATTTGCTTTATTAACTGAATCAATATTAACGTGTTATAATTTTAACAGAATCAGTTAAAAAAAATAAAATTTTATTTTTTTGAAATCTAAATTTTTTGTACAAGTTTTGTAAATTAATATGTGAATTGTTTTTTTTAAATAATTAGAATAATTCAGTTTCTAAAGTACTACTGGAAAAACTTTTACACATATAATTGAAAAGATGTGTAATTTATGGTGTTGTCGAGCCGGAACGTTCGTGAACGCCGAAATGTTTTTTGATAATGACAATTGGCTGACGTATTGAAAAAAAAATTAAAAGAATTGCTGATTTTTTTCATAACTTTTAGCGAATTTTTATCTCTATTATTATAAACAAGGGTTTGAACGGAATCCGAACCGGAACGAACGGGCTTCTTTTTCTGAACCGCGAACCGGAGTCCGGAACGTTCGTTTCTGAATTTCTAACTCGAACCCAACCGAGACAAATACGAGGACCGTTTTTTTTTTAAATTTTAGCGTTCCGGAAAAAAAATAGCACAACACCACTGGTTTATAGTGATAAACTATTGTCTATAAACATCTTTCCTTTGCTTAATAAAATTAATTTACAATGATTGCTGGTATCAAAATTGAAACAAACGTAATTTTAGATTTTTTAAATATAAACACATACGATGAATCGATTTTCTTGATGTAACAAGCTTTGGCTATTAGTCGAGGCGCTGTAGGGCATCAAGTATGCATAATATGAGGACCGCTAATTTTCTTTAGATTCTTTTACCTGAGATGCCAAATAAAGGGAAAACTCATGTTGCCTTCTAGCTTCTACGTAATTCGAATTTTCCTGTACCTGCTTTTTCACTTTACGCGTACTTACATGCGTCGTAGCGCTCGACGTAGTCAGTATAAAACTAATAATGTTTTACTTTTATTTGCATTAATATCATATAATATATTGTTTAGGCTTACGTATATCAATGTTTTATTTAAAGAAAAACGCTGGAACTGTCGGTGCAGGTAATAAATATTAAGAAGCGAGATGTGAAATATCGTGATTTTGCGAAAAACGGATGAATTTGGTCGAAAAATTAAAACCACATTTGGCAGATATTATTCAAGAAGCATTAAATATACTTTATATATCCATGAAAAGATTAAATATACCGAAGTTCACCAACAGTTAATTTTTTCTAGAATAGATAAGTGCATATAGTTTTTAATAAAGCTAATTGTTTGGTATTAGGATCTAGATTTTCTAAATTTCGTGGAGCTTTCTGAACAAAATCCAGTGATACAACTTTCAAACTTTTTTCTGTTGAATTGACTGAAATCAGCCAGCGTTTCTCTTTAACGTTCCAGCGTTTTTCTTTAAATAAAACATTGATATATAAGTAAGCCTAAGCAGTATATTATATTATAATTTGAATATGAATAAAAGTAAAACATTATTAGTTTTATACTGGCTTTGTCGAGCGCTGCTACGACACATGGAAGCATGGGTAAAGTGAAAAGGCAGGAAAATTCGACCAACATAGAAACTGGCAAAATGAGTTGTCTCTTTACTTGACATCTCCGGTAAAAAAATCTGAAAAAAGTTGGCCATCCTCATATTATGCTCATTATTATGATACTTGATTCCATACAACGCCCGCATTATATACATAAACGACAAAAATGCTTGCGAACATTTTGCTTTTGACTATTTTTTTGTTAGATTAGTAAAAAAATACTATTATATACAATTAGGTTTTACTTCCTATTTTCTTAATTGTACTTCAATATTTTCAGCTGCAACTGTCTGAAGTAATTATGAGAACTCGTCAATATATGGAAGAATTAGGTAGTGGGAAGGGTAACGTATTGAATCATCATAAAACGATTAAAGATTTAGAGCAATACTTCAGCAGCATGGGCGATAACAAGGATGTGAAACAATTCTTGCAAAAAGTCACATCTGATAAAGAAGGGTAAGTCGGAATATATTAATTCGACGTAACTTAAGTTATGAAAATAGACGACTTTTGATACTTTTTCTATATTTTAACTAGATCAAGATAAAAGCGCTTCGTACCTCGACTATCGTACTCGAATCATTTAGAATTAATCGTATTTTTTATGTTAATAAAAGTTGATCCATAGTGAGCAGCAAATATGAATTATATCTTTTGTGTATTGGTTAATATGCACATATGTTTATTTATTTGCATGTTGATTTATGATATTTATATTATATTATTGCTGCTGTGTATTGTGTCATAGTATACCAATTTTCGTTCTCTTTAACCCATTGGGTTTAACCCTTTAACTTAAAATGACGAGCAGAGCCCGCGTGCGATTTCTGGGCCAAGCATAAATATTACGGGCATAGCCCGCGTACTATAATCGGACAAGAAGCAAATATTACGCATTACGGTCATAGCCCCGTACGGCAATCGCAAGCATCACAAAATTTTTATTTATATAAAACTATAAAACACAGAATTTATTTTTGTGAAAATCTGTACACTGTGTGGGAAAATAGTCACAAACGCTGCGCCAGCTTGTACAACTTTGACCCAATATTTTCGAATATAAGTTAAGGGTTAACAGCCACAAACAATTATTTAGAGTTTTAATAGGGATAGATGATGGAATAGAAATTGTATCTTTACTATCATAAATGCGGAAGAATTTTTTTTCATATTTACATACAGTCCTGTTCCGTCAGATTTCAAAGAAATAAAATATAATTCCGTCGAAAAATACAAATAAATTATACTTTGCCGATGCATTGATATGTTTTGTATTTCTAGTATTCTTCACTTGTTCCCGTGGTCTGGTATTGTTGATGAGAACCGCGAACTCTCCGATACGTTCCGAGTACCCGACCCTAAAACTGGTCAGATGAGGAGGCTGATTTCGCAAATTCCACCTAAAGAAGAAGAAATGTTCAGAAATATGATTCGACGATTGAACACATTAGTAAAGGTAAAATTCATATTGTTAAATTGTTTAATATTGAATGCTGAAACGATAACGATATTAAAGTATATTTACTTAAGGGGGGGGCTTTAGAGGCTTAAAAAAAATCGATTTTTTTTTTGCAAAAATATCTTTCAAAACTAGACAAGAATATATCCCTTATTTTTGGAATTACAGGAGAAATAGTGAGCAACCGTCAAGCATGTATGCGAGCGGAACGAAAACTTCGACGCGCGATTTCTCGGTTTTTAATTTTTTCCTTTCTTAATTGGCGGGAAAGATAGGGAAAAAATTAAGCGTCCTGTCGGAACGAGATAAAATTCTTTGTATTCAGTTAGTTTCAAATTATAATTAAACCTCTTTTTAAACAATCTAAAGTGAAATTTTGTATAAAGAAACATGATTTTTTTTACAAGTTGCGAAAAATTTATTTTTTTATGTTTTTGGATTTTATAGGTTTAAATAGAATCTATACTATTGGAAATGTATATTTGTTTTGATTTTTTTGTTTCGAATAAAAATTGTGACCTGCATCTTTTCCGCCAAATGACACCTGCACGCTCGTGGCGCATCGGCAAAATGCTTGTACCCGGCATATTATGACATATATTTTAATGAAAAATTTTGAGAAGAATGAAAGTTTTGTTTTAATTAAATATGTATTTTCTTCCCTAAAAAAAACTTCAAAAAAAGCAATTTTTTGAAGCCTCTAATGGAATTTTCCCCCTTAATGAAATTTAATAGTCCGCACGTCAAATATCGGTAAATAATATTCATTACTCTTTTATTTATAAACACTTTATATAAAAAGATAATGTTTCTTTATATATGCATATATTATTTTAAAATTAATATTTATAATCCAACTATATTTTTAGACTGCTCAAGACATGGACGTCCGCATAATGATTGATGCGGAACAAACTTACTTCCAGCCTGCGATTTCCCGGATAACGCTCGAAATGATGAGAAAATATAATAAGGAAAAGGCTATAGTTTTCAACACATACCAGTGCTACTTGAAGGAAACCTTCAATGAAGTCACGACGGATTTAGAACAAGCCAAGAGACAAAACTTTTACTTCGGCGCGAAATTAGTGCGTGGTGCCTATATTGAACAGGTTCGTTTTTTTGATACAATTAATGATATTTCAAATTATTGCTACAGCAAATATGAACATAAACTTTGCGATAGTATTAACCCTTTCCACTCGCGAATTCCGAGATTTATATGAATTTTGCTGCCAGAGCAGCGGCATCCGAGTCGAAAGGGTTAAAATAAAAATGATTTGCCTTTCGGACTTCGGCGTACAGAGCGTCACAAAATAAAGAACAGTTCGATTCAGAAAAATATGCCTTAAAACAAATAATAAAATATTTCCTGTTAAATACAGTTTTTAGAACAAAGGTGAAATTTGTTTCTTATATTAAACCATTTTTATAATTTTGACTAACTTCCGTTTTAAAAGTCTTGTAATGGGCATTGATAACATCTATTTTAAATTTCACTATAAAATAATTTTGTCAGAGTGTAGAAATGAAAGTATATTTTGAATAATATTTTTGAAATTGAATTTTTCATATTGATTTTAGGAACGCGCAAGGGCGGCTGCTTTAGGATATCCTGATCCTACGAATCCGACATTTGAAGCAACATCAGAGATGTATCATAAGACACTTACCGAATGCTTGCGTCGAATCAAGGTATTTTCTTTGGAACATTAATTTATGCAGCAGTTTTGATTCATTTGAAAATGAATTTATATAACATGAACAATGATTTGCTTGTGTATTATCTGTATTAATTATTAGTTTTTTTTTTAGCATTTGTGTCTCTGTTAATGAATTACCTAGAACCTAGTAACATTCTTACTATGTCCTAAAAATTCTATTTTATTAAAAATAACTTATATAAAAAGTTATTGCTAATTTCGACTACTAACAAGTATTACGACAGAGAATTTTTTTATATTCATTTAATTTTGTACTCATACGTTCATAGGTTTTAAAAGACGCTGGCCAAGAAAAGAAAATAGGTATTATGGTTGCATCTCACAATGAAGATACTGTTCGATTCGCTATAGAGCAAATGAAGAACATTGGAATTTCACCTGAAGATAAAGTGATATGTTTCGGACAATTGCTGGCTATGTGTGATTACATTACTTTCCCGTTAGGTTAGTGTGTTCTATTACAAATCGTTGAATATTTGGTAAATCGTACTGAGTAAATGTTACCCACTTCTATTAATTATGATCAATAATGAATAGAAGTGGGTAACATTTACTCACAATCAGATTCAATAATGATAAATCTCATTGACACATAACTATAATGATTATTTTTCATAATATTAGTTAAAAAAAAACTTAAATCTTGATTTTGTAAGTTTCTATTTTTTTTTGCTCTAACATATTACTATGAAATTTATACCAACTTCTATTATAATAACTTATAATACAAAATTTTACATTATTCGCTTTAATTGAATTCAGATTATTTCATTTCGTTCAAGTGCGAATCAGTAAACTTTTACATTTTCACATCACTAATACACAAGATTTCTCAAATATTAATTATTTAGATTAAGTATCATGATCCTTTTATATAAACATTGTCTTGGAGCTGTGCTTAATATCTGCATGTTAATACAAGTACCCAAGAAAATATAATGAATTTTCATTTTAGGTCAATCAGGGTATTCAGCATATAAATACATACCCTACGGTCCAGTCAACGAGGTACTGCCATACTTATCCCGACGCGCACAAGAAAATAAGGGTGTTTTACAGAAAATTCAAAAAGAAAAAAGATTATTGCGCAGAGAACTGTTTAGACGTTTGTTCTCAGGTCAATTGTTTTATAAGCCGAAAGGTAACTACGTACCTGTCTAAAAATTACACAGCTAGGATTATTTTAAGTGGAGATTTAATTAAATTCAGATAAACTGAACTAATGAAACAAATACATTATATACGCAACTTATTTATATTCTGTATTTTGTTTGCGGTTTTTAAAGTATTATTTTGTAGTATTTTATTTTTATTTATATTATAGAATACGATTTTAATGAAATAGTGATTTCATAGATCTGAATGTATTATATTATATAAAAAAAATATATGTCGATGCGAGCTAAACAATTTTGACTAATGTATTGGTCATTTAATCAATTTTATTAAGACATTATTTTATGTGATCGAACACTTTTTACCATAGTTTCCTAATTATAAATTGTATTTAGATTATTTTTCAAATGATTTATTACTAAGCTTTTTCTTTCCAAATATGTGAAAATTAACATGACTTGAAGTCTGAATCAGTGATTTTTGTATTATTTTGGAATGTATTATTTGTAAAATATTAATTTTATATACTCTTTTATAATGTATTAAATTTCTTGTAAAAAGTATCTGATGTTAATATAATTTTCTTCACTTAAAAGTATCTGGTGATAATTTGTAAATAAAATTGAAAATAATCACATAGTAGCATCATTTTTAACGATTTCAGCATTTTATCAATTATGTGAAAGTGAAAACAAAATCAATGAGATATCATTAAAACTAAATGTTAAATATTCTAGAATTATTGACAATAATATGATAGAAATAAAACAATTAAATGTTGAATTATATAAAATTGTTGGATGAAATGGTAGTTGAAGATACTTGTTTGAATTAATAATGCGGATACTTTAACATGAGAAATATATTTGAAACACCTTCACAATTTGTCCCTTTAATTCCCAAAGAATTCATATAAAAGTGATGTTTGTTGTAATTGTTTTTTTTGGTATGTAATTAATATTCTCAATGTAATTATACTACATGATAGTATTAAAATGAATGTAATAAGATTTTAAATTAGTAACGAAATTATTGTATATTAAAATCAAACATGGCTGTTATAATGCTGCTAGAGACTATTATAATTTTAACTGGTCAATGATCATCATCATATTAGCTGTATACAGTCTTATGAGTTCTAATCAATGAAACAATTTTGTTGAATACTATTAGTTGTTAAACTTTCAGTGCTAGACAGCAACTTCTTTTCTGTTTATGAAAAACTTGTTATATTTACTCGAGTACAATTGTGTAGTGCAGTGGCTAACTGTATTAGATGATATAGTCAATTTAAAATTCAGGAACTAAACTTAAATTAGTATTACGTTGCTGTCTTCACATTATGTTCTATGCTCATCAGTTTTAAGTTAAAGTTGGCCACCACTCATATATAGCAAATAGATAATGACTATTGCGAAAGAAGTCTAGACTATAAAAATACTAATTTATTTATTTATGTAGTATATTTTTAGTATTGTGAGTGAAAGACGTTTAAAATACATCTAATTCAAAATAGTCAAAATGATTCTAACCACATTTTGTATGTTTTAAGTATGCAAGCATGTTTGCTTGAGATTTGTTTAAGAACCTAATTGTTTAGTACTTCACCAGAATTACAAGTATATACTTATTTGCTATATACTTCTGTAATCTGAGTTTTTAAATTATATTATAGATTTTAGTATACACATGCTTTGTTCCATGTGCAAAGTGTAATTAAAGCCTTTCATAAAGCATTCAACTACCTTTGCATTGGAATTTGTATATCTTTGAGTAGACTGGAAGTACATTCAAGTTACATTTCAATTGTAATTTTAATGCCGAAATAAAAAGATTAAATAAACATTAATATATCTTTATTTAATTTTATAGATACAATGATATGTTTATAATATACATAATACTCTTTAATATTTTATGTACTATAGTTTATTTCAAATTGCGCTCACGGTTGACATGCTATTTGGCCACGATAAATATCTTTTCATAACTGTTCCTGCATATTTATTAACAATGTATATTATATTATGACTTTATTATTTAACATGGACAATTTGTGTTAATTTTTCCAATGGAGAAGTTTTATCATTGAAAAAATGCATTTTTCTTAATATGGATGTCCCATTAATAAAAATAAGAATATATCAAAATCTATCTTATTATTCTATATTAAATTTTAGTGATCTATCTTTCCGTAATGTACCTACATATTTGACTATAAAGAAATGATACACTAATCACCTTTTCATGTAATTTAAACAACCTGAATATTTTATTTTGAATAATAAATTTTGATTAAACTTCTCCATTGTGATCGGAATTTGTGGCAGCATTTTTTAATTAGGCATAAACCTTTCCTATGATTTCAACAGAAGAATCATCATCATTTCATCAACATAAGGGTGGTAATAATCAAGTACATCTTATTGTCAATATTTGTAAATTATTTAATTGTACTCCAGATGAATGTATCAACAGATTTTTATTAACTTACATACATGAATGTGAGACATTGACTATTGTGTTCACTATGGTTCAATCACAAATTCATAGATTGTCTTTCTCCACGGTCTTTTTCGCATTTCAGTTCTAGATATGCATATGGAGGTACCGATATTAATAGGCCTATTGCAAGGCCTAATAATTTATATTTCTCGCAAAGAATTCCATGCAGCGTAAATCCGACAGCTAGACCGAAATTTCGAAATGCTATAGAGTGTGCCCAGCATGACGTGGTCATCAAAGTCTGACTTAGAAGAGCTGAAAATTATATTTTAACAGTGAGTTTATTTCATTTTTTTCGAATTATTATTAGAATTTTGAAATAACAATTGAATATGAGGCGATTTGTCAGTTCACTCACAATAATTTTCCGCTGTTTTACAAAAACAACAATGCTGTTTGAATTAAAATTATTATCTGTAACAACTTAGTTTAGAGAATGATGCTTAGTACATCTTAGCCATAATGAGCCGGAGAAGGTAAATATATATTATATTTGTTTAAATATATGATATAAAAGCTAATATAATATTTGTTTTTTTTTTGGCGAATTAGGTAAAGATCAATTTCAAGATGTATCCAAGCATTTTCAAAGATTTCTGCGAAGAAAATTTTTGGTATCCGGATCATTTTTGCTTCAAATGCGTATTTATTTTCCTAATCGAGCTATTTTACACGAATATGTCAATAGTGTTTTGCAACATTTTATTTATAATGGAAAACATAGCTATATATTTGATGCCATGGGATGAATTAGTATGAATAAAAAGATATAACATTTTAACTATCTTATATGATATTTTAGTGAGTGTGTTAGTGTTTTTTCGACAAACAGTAAATGTTATTTTATTATACAATGACAGTTTAGTGTAAAAAATGCCATGCCAATCAATCATTAATTGTTCATACTAATCTGTGAATGCGGCTCTGTATTGTGCTATACGAGACGGTAACTAGTAATAGGCGTTTTTGTACCATACAAAAATTATGTACGGATTCAAGTGAAGATTGAATGAAATGAAATTGTGTTACTGAAGACACTATATTTTTTATTTGTATTATGATATGTATATATGACATTGTAGTTTACGTTGATTTATGATAGTCCCAAGCATGGGGTAATTGTAACAGCGCACTTTTTCGAGAAAATAATTAATTGTGAAATAACGAACAACAGTTATGAAATTATTTTTACTTGATTCGGTAGTTACAGCAACTATCCAACTTTACTTCGTATAAATATATCTTGAAATCAGTGGATCTCAAGATATATTCATTTAAATGAAAACTGTTACAACCAGCCTCTAGCTCTCTTATCTATATTGTATTCCTTTTTAGGAAATCTTAAATATTGCATGATATATTAGAATTTTGACTGTTTTTAGATCCGAGACTCAACTCTCAATCTTAGTGTCACAACTGGCAATATAATATTACACAATCACGTGCAAAAATTCAATAACAAAATATTAATTGCATAAGATAAAAAAAAACAAAAAATCATATAAATAATAATAAATACTAATAACATACAATAAAATATAACATTTATATCAATGAATTAATTATTTTGATAATATACAGTTAGTTCATCTAATTAATAGTAAAAATTAACATAACTAAAATATAATCAGCGACAAATTTTAAACGGTTAAACGTTCGGTATAAACTATTTAGTGTTTGAAATCGATGCGCAAAGAAAAATTCTTTTCATTTTCTAAGATTTTTCACTGTTTATGGATAAATTTTGAGAATAACTGTGTTGGCCATTCGGTCAAGTGGTGAAGTGAAGATAAGGGAATAGATCTGCAGAAAGGTGCTGCAGTCGTGACTGTAAACATCAAATTAATATATTCTGAAAAAATTTGTCTGATTTAGAACGACAAACCGTCCATATAATCTGCTGTGAATATTGAATATTTATAAAAGTGAACGTGATTTTCATGAAAAATTATTGCACTATTTTATTTATAAAATTATGTGATGTGATGTTAATTATGTGATAATTTATGTAGTGTATGTCAAGCAGTTTTTTATTATCGAGGAAAATATTCAATTGAGTAGACTTTTTAGTGCGTGTGTTACCAAAATTTAGTGTTTCCCAAACTGCATTGCATACGCCCCAGCATGCCGCTATGACATAAAACAATGCAGAATCTTCAGCAGATGGTTTCCAGGTTGAAAGTGCCAGTAGCAGGCAAGCATGGAAGAGGAATCCGGCCACTAAAAGTAAGTCAAAGATGTTTTTTTTAGATATACTTGGCCATTGGTATAAGATCCGATAATTGCATTCATTAATTGCAGTTACTTGTGTGTATGAAAAGCACAATAGTGTTATCTTAACCCTTTGGCTACGAGCGTCGTCAACAGACGACAACCGCTTGACAACCTGTATGCACTAATGTCGTTTGTGATCACTCTGAGCTAAATAATGTGAAATTGAATTTGTTATTGTGGTTTTTAGATTCTAAGTAGTGTAGTTTTTATTTTTTAAATACATTTCTATTAAGAATGATTGAAAAATCTGAAATTATTCTGTGTAACTAATACATAGGCGCATTGGCTCATACAGCAGCGTCACTCCCGCGTAAAACACTCTCGTAGCGAAAGGGTTAACATTTTATGAATCGCAACTAAAGGTGCGAGTTATGATGTTTTTCTTATAAACTGTTGGAAGGCAAGTTTTCACTATTATTTTGTCGTACCATGATTAACACGTTTAAGCCGGGGTCGATTTTGGTACGTTTTTACGTACGTTTGGTACGTACGTTTTTCTGTGAGGCGTTGTTATTGTCTTCGAAATGTGTACCACCGGTGGCCCGCGCCACCCGGTAGAACAGCCTAAGTGTTAAGTAAGGTTTGATAACCTTCAGCTTATTTATTTATTTATTTATTTATTACACGCCAATCGGCTATATACACTTAATTATGATTAATTAATAATTATAGTAATGTAATGTAACATAATAATGTAATCCAATGTTATTAAAAAAACACACATACGGGTACATCTTGTAGTGGTATTCACCCTTTACACGCACACACCCGCGCATGCACCTATATGCAGTACACAATAGTAATTCTAACAAATTCTAATAAGTATTATTTTTTTTAACAATATTGATAAATGTTTTATGTGAGGAATTAAAAAAAGTTTAGTTTCGACCACCTGTTCGTTGATCACTATTGCTACTCTATTGATGGGACCGTTTAATATATAGTTCTTTGTGGTTTTTGAATATGGAATATAGAATATTCCAATAAGTCATATATGGAATATGGCTTATGGAATATGAACATTTTGATCGGTGTAAAAAGAATGTCGATATTACTGTTTTCATACATACCACTAGCCAAGGTAACAATATGATGTGATGTAATAAAACCTTGGTGTTCAGGGTATGTTTGCTTGATGCAGGAATCTGCTTTTATATGAAAGTGTTTTTATGATATAATGCTCGCCCTATTACAGAAATTGTAATAATAATATATCATACAGAGATGTGGCAACTGATTGGGTTGCCATCAGTCAAACAGACTAGTATCAAGTCAAAATTAGCTTATAGGACTATTAGGTTCTGATTTCTGTTCAAAAATAATAATAAAAAAAATATGAATGTGTTTTTATGAAATATGCTTACATTTATGTATGCTCTCTTGAAGGACGATATCGAACTTATTATATTATTATTATAAGATTAAAAAATTATAAACGCTTTCTTATATTATTTCATATGAGCAAGTTACGTATTTTTTTATAAAGCATCAGTTTTTTATGAGCAAATTACTCATTTGCAGCTAGTTATAAAAATATTAAAAAAATGTAATATTTTGTTTACCTATCACAACGGCACGCTTAACATGCCTGAGAAACATGCTTAGCGTAGATGCGGCTACGGATTGCAATAGTCCGAGGGCTAGGAATACCATACAGATTCCCTTAGGGCCCATAGCGCAGGATACGTACGACTGAAAGACAATTATCATTTTAATTTTAACCAGTTTACGATTAATATATAGGCATAAAAGTTACGGTTTTATAATAGTTTTTATAGAAGCTTTACATTATATATACTTAAAATTAGCTGACTTTCTGCATAAAGACTTGCTGTATATCCAAAATTTCAAGCAAATTAAGCTAACCTTATTAGAATCTTTATGACAATATAATTACATTGCCTTTAGATGGTTATTCCTAATGAGTTTGTATACTAGGTGATTACTCAATCCCATGAATCTTCAGTGTTTAAAAGTTTTTGTTTTCTGTTATTATTTTTCATAGTTTGTACCTTTGTAAAATCTGCATACATAAATGCCTGTTCCAATCCTATGAATACTGCTAATGGTGCTGCTAACCTCAATCTCATATCAGCCAAGCTATCGCGAAATTCTCTTAAGGGTCCAGCTCGATCCGGAGGGTCAGGCGGCACCTATAGTAAAGTTTAAAATATATTGTGATTTTTTATGTCGACTAAAACTGTTGGTGACCTTTTATCGAATATTCCTTGTAAAATTTATATCAAATCTGTTTCTCCCTCAGAGGGAGAAGAAACAGAATTATGTAGCTTATCTTTCATATATGGATAGACTATCCATATATGAAAGATAAGCTACATAATTCTGTTGTCGTTAGCGGAAATTGGTAAATAACTAAAACGGGAAAGTCTTAGCTTTTCAATTTTTTTTCCGGAATTATTATAATTTTAGATGCAATGCTTCCAGCACCAATATTTGATGCAAAATGTATCGGCCGATTCTGCTATAATATAGACCAATGTTATGGCAAGGCTATGTTACGTTAATTTTCATACAAAATGTTACTAAATATTGTCAAAATGCCATGTATTTGCTGTGCGATCAGACGTTTTACACATAAAATACAACTTCACTTACATGCTATCAAGCCATATCTCAAAGATCCAGTTATGATAACATAGTTTGTCATTTGTGCCTTTTCTAGACTAGAGTTTCTATCCAAAACGACTGACTGCACAGCAACCACATATAATTTGTCAATTTTTAGTATCACTTTATATGAAAACTGCTACATAACATAACCTTGCCATAACATTGGTCGACATTTTACGACAGAATCGGACCCTTACTTTAGTCAATTCAATATTAAAACATTACAAAATAGTTGTCTTTAATGTATTCGATTTTGTATTCGGTCATCATAATTTTTATTGACTAAATAAACATCATAATACATTTTTGGAACTTTAAAGAGAAAGTTTTGTACAATTTATCAGTAGAACATATGCTAACGTAGATTGAATTGTTGGTGAGTTTTTGCATTGCTCCATGTTTTGATTTTTATATCGCATTGCTTAATGCTCACCCGAATGTGATCAATGAAAACGCATGTGATGACCAATGCCAATACTGCCAATCCTCCGAATAGTCCTGCCAATAATCCGGCAGTAGATCTCGGTACAACATCGGCGCTACCATTAAGGACCCAACTTGTTTCGTCAATTAGAGCACTGTCCACTACGCTTCCGTTATAATGAGCAGTATATCTAAAGTAAAATGAAAACTGTTGATGAAAACAATTTTTGATACTATTAGATAATTATTTTAAAACACAAATCGAAGCAAAATAAATCTATAGTAAAATTTATGCGAGTAAAAACAATAATAAAACAAAGTATATTTGAACTTGAGTGATTTTAATGTTTTTATGACGTTCTTCAAACACATGATGGCGTTATTACACTCGTTACACTCGTATTTCTATAAAAATAAAAAATAAAGTTGTTTAATATCAGTATCAAATCAAAATATAGGCAAATAAATTAATAATTTTTCAGGTGAATATTTGAATTAACGATGACTACAAACAACCATGAGTTAAAAAATAAAATAATATACTACTTATAAAAAAATAAACTTTTATGATGATAGTAAAGAGTTCTGATTGCTGTATATATATATATATAAAAAAAAAAAATGATGATAGTGAAAAAGCAAATCACATGATTTTATTAAAACTCTGCTTTTTATTAATATGAAAATAGTTTAAAAAGGATAATTTTTATGTTTATAATTTATATTTTTTATATTTCGATTGAAAATTTATATGAAATGTTCGTCAACCTGACGGGACAAGCCAAAGCTCCGCAAACTCTTTCACCACTTTCATCCAAGGCGTAAGCATCATCCAATGACAAGTATAGCGACAATTCGGATAAGTTTCCTGGCACGCCTAATATGCTATACCTATAAATACAGGAACATATTAATATTTTATGTTACTTTATGAATTTTGAACATTACAATCAGTTTTTAATTAAAAAAAAAACTTTTGAATATTTTGAAATTGGGGGTACATGTTACCATTTGGAGGTACCTAATGTCGATTTCCAATTTGGTACACTTGTATTTGGCCGATTTTAAACTCGAGGAGATTAAACCTTTACGTGACGTATGTTATTTTTGTCTACGATATAGTCAATTTCGTAGAAATGAAAGCGAAATAAACGCTTTAAAGTTAAAAGACAACAAGCGGCCAAAATTTTATTTATCAATCAAGTAATTCTCTGGATAATATTAATAATGTGTGTGGCTCGTACTCTGATCGGCCAAAAGTTGTTATAGATACGTATAGTGATTTGATTTCGTATATAATTAACTTCCAGAAGGAAAGGTTTGTTTTCATAAAAAAAATTCGATTAGCTATTTTTATGTTTTCTTGACGTTTCAAGTCATTCTGAATCGAATGAGACCAAATTTGAACAGATTTTTTGCCGTAAATCTTTCTCAAAAACTGATCGATTTTGAAAAATTTTAAAGCCATTCGATGTATTCCGATGAGAACTCGCGTTTATCAATTTTGCGCGACGATCACCCAAGCCGTTTCTTTGTAAATAGCAGAAAACTTAAAATTTTTTCGTCCACGTTTTAGCCTGTAATTCTGAATCGATTTTGAAAATTCAAAAACCGTTGGAAAGATATTGTTTGGGAATCGTGCTGATTAGTTTTTGGTTAAGATGGTCCGATCCGTTAGCCTTAGAGATAATACTAAAATATTACGGCCGTACGACAAGTAGTTCAATATTAAAAATACATCAAAGTACATCTTTTGACGTTTGTTAAAATTAAAATTAGACAGTTTACTTGGTATAACGATAAAGTACTTGGTATTAATAAACATATTAAACCATTAAAGAGTCCTACGTAAACTGGTTCAAATATAAAATTTATTGATTTTTAAAAATTCGCATTTAGGAAATACTCCGAGTTAACGCAATCGTTTGTTTTCAGTGATGTGTAGTAAATCCACTCGGAATACTTTTAATCACTCATAAATTCATTTATTTTTTATTGATTACGTTGATTATTTACATATATCGGGAAGTTTTAATATCTCTAAACATTTTAATATAATCCGTAATTAGGAAATAATCCGTATGCATTGTACTTATTTATAACCAAACATTTCAGACAATTATAGAACATTTGAATAGATGCAAGAAATAGAAATGCTTTGCAAATTAAAAATGAAATATATTTATATCTCTTATTATGCATTATTACTTAAGATATTCTAATTAGTATATATCTTCTTACCCATGTGATACCCTATGCGAATGTATATCATCTTGGGTTGCCCCGGAGTAAGAGATAATAAGAGCTGCCAATAATGATCCTGCTACGAGTCCCAAATCTTGCGCGCCCTGCAGTCCTCTCGCTAACCTCCGAATCTGCATATAAATTATAATCGACTTTTGTTAACATCTGAGAAGTGTTTGAATATATCTTGTTCTTGAGAAATTTATTTCTCCATTATTAAGGAGCACATGTTTTACCTTTAGCTACATATTATGGGTACATGTTTTAAACGTAAACACGTGTATAATTTTTTAATAATCACGTATCATAAATTTATGGTTTTTAAAAATTATCAAACTAATTTGTCGAAATAATTACTTAATTTTTTTTATCTGTACATAGAATAAGTTATTGAAAACTCAAAAAAAAAAAAATGAAAATGAATTTATCTCCTTTGCCACGATATGATCTTTCGTTAGCAAGGTTTTGGTATATCTTATTGTTAGAAACAATGGATGTCAATTAATTAAAATGTGTTGACGAATTTTAAATAAAATATATAATTTTTAAAGACATTATCTAATAAAACATTTGATAAGATTGTTCAATTTTACTCCATTAGAGCAAAAATGTAATTTTATATATAACTTTTCAAATAAAAAAAAACGATCTTTTTCCATAAAATTGTATTTGTATTTTCCATCGATGTTTAATCAATTTAGTAATTAATGTTACCTAATCGGTTTAGTTTTTTTTCATAGAGAATTACAGGCAAGCATGAACGTTTTAATCGAATAGGTTAAGTAACATACCGACAAAAAATATATTTTATTATTTTATTACCAAAAAAAAAAAAAAATTGAATAATTGGGCATTGAAATGCAAAGGCGTTTTATACAATCATATATATTATAGTCCATTATTCACGGATATGGCAATCAAAAAGCATATGAATCATAAACCTTAAAATGTAAGTATAGTCAACCCTCCGATAAAAGTGAGTGCGATCGTGTGTAATATGAAAACCGTGCTATTACGAACTAGGATTTAACATACAATCCAGGCCAATTTGCATTGCGTTCGCTCTATGAAATCAGCAATCGGGTTGTATGAGAACCGTGCTATAAGAAACGCCGCTCTGAACGGAAATAGAAAATAAAAATTAGTACAAATCACAAGATTTGTATCGCGTTATATAGAAACCAATAAGTACAAATATGAATTATTGTTATTGCATTGAAGAGTTTATATAAGTTAAGGTGATTATATTTTTTTAAAACCGGGACGACAAGTTTAGTTGTACTTACTCGAGGCGGGGAGAAGCGGTCTTTAAAATAACAAATTAAATCAATGTTTATAATCAGAATTGTTGACTTTTAGGAATAACTTATTATTCTATTCTTCTACGTTATATCTTATATTTTTTTATATTTCTATCTATGTTTTAAAATTCTGTTTAACATCTTTAAAGTTTTAATTTTATCATAATTTCCAAAAAAAGGTCGCAATTGTTTGTTGTTTTACTCATTATTATTATTTAATTATGTTAATTTTCCTAATAATTTTCG